CCCCAAATCCCCAAATCCGACCCCAAACTGAACCCCAAATCCGACCCTAAACAGAGCAGAAACTGCGGGTGGCACCTGGCGACACGGGGACACCGGCCGGGATGTCCCCAAATCCCAAAATCCCAAAATCCCAAAATCCAACCCCAAATCCGACCCCAAATCCCCAAATCCGACCCCAAACTGAGCCGAAACTGCGGGTGGCACCTGGGGACACGGGGACACCGGGATGTCCCCAAATCCCAAATCCCAAAATCCGACCCCAAATCCGACCCCAAATCCCCAAATCCAGCCCCAAACTGAACCCTAAATCCGACCCCAAATCCCGAAATCCGACCCCAAACTGAACCCCAAATCCGACCCTAAACAGAGCAGAAACTGCGGGTGGCACCTGGGGACACGGGGACACCGACCGGGATGTCCCCAAATCCCAAATCACCAAATTCGACCCCAAATCCCCAAATCTGACCCCAAATCCGACCCCAAATGCCCAAATCCGACCCCAAACTGAACCCCAAATCCGACCCCAAACAGAGCAGAAACTGCGGGTGGCACCTGGAGACACGGGGACACCGGGATGTCCCCAAATCCCAAATCCGACCCCAAATCCCAAAATCTGACCCCAAATCCCAAAATCCAGCCCCAAACTGAACCCTAAATCCGACCCCAAATCCGACCCCAGAGCAGAAACTGCGGGTGGCACCTGGGGACACGGGGACACCGGACGGGATGTCCCCAAATCCCAAATCACCAAATTCGACCCCAAACTGAACCCTAAATCCGACCCCAAATCTGACCCCGAACTGAACCCCAAATCCAATCCCAAATCCGACCCCAAATCGGACCCCAAATCCAAGCCCAGAGCTGAAACTGCGGGTGGCACCTGGGGACACGGGGACACCGGGCGGGATGTCCCCAAATCCAACCCCAAATCTTTCCTGTGGCCACCCCAAAATCCCCAAGACCCCAAATCTCCTTTCAGGGTCACCCCATAACCCCCAAAGTGGCCCTAAATCCCCCCTTGGGGTCACCCCAAAACCCCCAGGACCCCAAATCCCCCCTCAGGGCCACCCCAAAACCCCCAGGACCCCAAAATCCTTCCCATGGCCACCCCAAAACCCCCCAAAATGGCCCCAAATTCTCCCTCAGGGCCACCCCAAAACCTCCAAGACCCCAAAATCCTTCCCATGGCCACCCCAAAACCCCCAAGACCCCAAAATCCTCCCCATGGCCACCCCAAAACCCCCAAAATGGCNGCCACCCCAAAACCCCCAGGACCCCAAAATCCTTCCCATGGCCACCCCAAAACCCCCCAAAATGGCCCCAAATTCTCCCTCAGGGCCACCCCAAAACCTCCAAGACCCCAAAATCCTTCCCATGGCCACCCCAAAACCCCCAAGACCCCAAAATCCTCCCCATGGCCACCCCAAAACCCCCAAAATGGCCCCAAATCCCCCTTCGGACTCACCCCAAAACCCCAAATCCCCCCTCAGGGCCTCCCCAAAATCCCCAAAGTGGCCCCAAATTCTCCCTCAGGGCCACCCCAAAACCTCCAAGACCCCAAAATCCTCCCCATGGCCACCCCAAAACCCCCCAAAATGGCCCTAAATCCCCCCTCAGGGCCACCCCAAAACCCCCAGAACCCCAAATTCTCCCTCAGGGCCACCCCAAAATCCCCAAAGTGGCCCCAAATTCTCCCTCAGGGCCACCCCAAAACCCCCCAAAATGGCCCTAAATCCCCCCTTGGGGTCACCCTAAGACCCAAAATCCCCACTTAGGGCCACCCCACAACCCCCAGGACCCCAAATCCCCCTTTGGGGTCACCCCAAAACCCCCGGGACTCCCCCCCAAATGTGCGACCCCACAGCCCCCAGCCCCACATCCGTCCCCAATCCCTCACCGGGGTCTCGGGGTCCCGCTCGGGTTTCGGGGTCCCTGTAGGGCACGGCCAGGGTCGTGTCCAGAGCCTTGAAACAATCCCGCAGCGAATTCCGCTCGTAGAACTCCACCAGCTCCTGCCGGGACCCCAAAAACATCCCCGGGGCAGGGGTCAGAGACCCCCCAAAAAATCCCAAAAATCCACAAAAATCTGTCCAGGAAAGTCAGGGACACCAAAAAACCCCAAAAACCCTAAAAACCTGTCCAGGAAAGTCAGACTCCAAAAACCCCTCCCAGGAAAGTCAGCGACCCCCAAAAAAACCCCAAAAATCCCTCAGGAAAGTCAGGGACACCAAAAAACCCAAAAAACCCCAAAAACCATCCCAGGAAACTCAGGGACCCCAAAAAACCCCAAAAACCCAAAAAACCCCAAAAACCTGTCCAGGAAAGTCGGGGACCCCCAAAAAAACCCCAAAACCCCAAAAACCATCCCAGGAAACTCAGGGACCCCAAAAAACCCCAAAAACCCTCCCAGGAAAGTCGGGGATCCCAAAAACATCCCCGGGGGAGGGGTCAGAGACCCCAAAAAAATCCCAAAAATCCACAAAAATCTGTCCAGGAAAGTCAGAGGCTCCAAAAACCCCTCCCAGGAAAGTCAGCGACCCCCAAAAAAAACCCCAAAATCCCTCAGGAAAGTCAGGGACACCAAAAAACCCAAAAAACCCAAAAATCCCACCCAGGAAAGTCAGGGACACCAAAAAACCCAAAACCCTGTCCAGGAAATTCGGGGACCCCAAAAACATCCCCGGGGGGTTCAGCCACCCCCCAAAAAACCCCAAAAATCCCAAAAATCCTCCCAGGAAAGTCGGGGATCCAAAAACGCTCCCA